CCCCAAAACCCCAAAACCCCAAAACCCCGCTAAGAGTGGATATTATCATCTAAATAAACGATTAAAGTTTTTAAAATAATTAAAATGCATTATAAATCCAACAACAATCATTATTAGCATAAAACCTTCTCAATCAGGATCTTTTTATATTTATTTCTGATGACTGAAATCTATTGAGAGAGGTATTTAGCTCTCTCCTTATCACTCTTTATTTACTTATAAGGCTAGCTTTGGAAAATCTGTTATGTCGCTTTCTCAATTTCCTTCTCTTCTTATTTTTGAATCTCCATCATGACCTTTTTGTAGTGGACTGAAAAATTATCTTACTCTTCATCTTCTTGAGACAATAATCGACTGAAAAGTTCATTGTCCTATACTTTATTTCCACCCATAGTGCAGTACCCATCATCGCTCTTGGTGTTTAAGGTGTATTTGTCCTTGTGGTGAAAATGATTATTATTTTGATTCTATTGCTAATAGTTCTGATCATTTTAATCTTGTTTGACTGGAGGAAAAATGAAAGAATTATTATCTTAGAGTATACTGGAGTAGTCTTGTGCTTTATTCTTTCCAGGACCTTTTGCTTGCTTATGCTTTTTTGTATCTCTGATGTCTGAAATTGGCGAGGAGTTGTCCCCTCTTCCCGTATTATGAGTAAGGAGACTTGTATCGTAATTTACGAGAGAATTTCTATCATCTCTAGGATAATAAGTGTTCAAATTTGTATTACCCAAGAATGACGCAGCAGTATTATAGTTCTATAAGAAATTATTTTGATGTTTATTTTCCTTAAACAATCCATTTTGCTCTATTAACTGAACTTTCACTTTCATGCTGTTATGAGATTTCGCCACAGCATTTTTATTTGTGTTATCATTATGTTCATTATCTGATATTGCAAACTCTTCAAAGTCCTTGGCATCCGGAAGCTCCTCCTCCTCATCAAAACTACTGTCCTTGTCAAATTAATGCTTTTTAAGAGTCTTGTCGTCATCTTTAGGCACCAGAGTTTTAACATTGGAGTTTGACCCAAAATTAAAGTTTAAATTTTCTTAATTGAGGTAAGGTAAAGCTCTTGGAGTCTTATTATTTATAACGACTATTGGATTTGTCTACATTGGAACAGTTTCTTCATCAGTGTTTATTTCTAACTTGTACCTATTCTAGTTTTAGGACAGATTATTGTTGTTAAGGATCTAGTTTACCTTGATCTTACTCTCTTAATTTTTATCTATTATGGGTTTGTATTGTATTTAACTCTCATCCTAGATATTTATTGCTTCTGTAAACTAGCTTTTATACTATTTGGGAGGTTCTTTTAGAAACATCTTACGACCCTATGAACCTTCATTTTTGAATCTTAGTATATAGTTCGATTATGATTCGTTGGATATCAAATTAAACTCATCTGCAGTTGAGTAAGAGTTTGTAGCTCCAGGACCCCTTTCAGTCTCTTAACTACTATAACCTGGCTTTTGATATTTCATAGTTTAAATATTGATATTTTCCTTCTTATTGCCCTTCTTCTCAGTAGTAGGTTCATCTCTAAGATTGACTTGCTTCTGAATATCCTAAATTGATCTATCTTTCTTTAAACTATTGAAAGTCTTCGTATTTACATTACTGCTTGCACTCTGCTTTCTCATCTCAAGTTTCTTTTAGGTTGAACCAGCATTCTTTCTATTATAGTCACTATGACTAGTCTCCCTTTAAAATTTGTTGGGGTTTTTTCCAAGGTTTTGAGGTATAATTGGACTAAGATTTAAAGATTTCAAATCTCCTTTGAGTCCTTAAATTTATTTGGTTCTTGAATTAGTGCTAGTTTTATCATCTCCTCTTGTAGACTAACCATGAGGACTTTTACTTGCATGACCACCATTGAGAGGAGTTATAGCTCTAGAATCTTCATGTCTTAGGAAAGAAGTCTTCACAAAAGTCGTCCTTTATGTATAATTCATATTATTTTTGTGCTAATATAGCGATGGTTAACTCTAATTTTTAGTGAGGACTGCTTTTTAATTCTGACTGCTTGAGTAATTTTAAGTCAAGTAAGCATTTTACTGCTCAATGTTTCTAGACTGGAGGCAATTTTTCATCTTTGTCTCTATAAAAGACCCATTTGGTAATTAAGACCGCTTTTTCTAATGGCTGCTCATCTAGTTGCTAAATATTGGCTTTTTTACTTCAATCTTAGTATTTTGCTTATCCAGAATAACATTGAAGTCCTTGATCTTTTGCTCATCTTAGATAAATTCTTTATCTTCTTCAGAAGAGATAGAAGGGCTTTAATTGTGAATGATTTTGTTCTTAACTAGCTGTATAGAATGCTTGTCTTCCATTCTGAGGTCTATTTCAGTTTTATTGTTCTTGCTAGACAGAGGTTGAGTAGAGTTGAAGTTCAGATACGCAGATTTATTTCTCGTCAATGAACTTAGATTATTCTTGAACATGAAAACCTGCTGCTACTTATTAGACACTACACGATTGGAATTATTTAGCATTGAGCTATTATTTTGCTAATGATAAGATTGATTGTTACTGTTGTTGCTGGTTTAAAATTTTGCTCCTCTTCTAATTACTGCCCTATTTGTATCCATAGCAGAAGTAGTGATTAACTGCTAATTGCTTCTCGAGGTTTTTAATTATTGAGTTGGCAGTTTATTTGTTAATTGTGTACCGATTCTCTAAGTAGTGTTAAATAACTACTGCAATGATCTCTACTTTTCAAGTTGCTTCCTCATATTGCTGTAAAGATCATGGGTCCTTAAACTAGTAGTACTAAACTCAGAATTATAGAATAGCTTTTATCTTAGAGTTGGAGATTATTTATCCCAATTAGGATTTTTTTAGTTTGCAGATACATTGTCATTTTTCCTCAAGATAGTGTCCCCTGGAGAAAATATAGTAGATGGCTTTACAGTCTAGACACTTTGATTGTTCTAATCTGATTATATTAGCATCGTAATATTCTGATTTGTCCTATTATGAGTGCTTCCATTGTGTTAATTATTATTTATTTATTATCTCCTGGCCTGAATGGTTTTAGCAATTAATGTTGAAGGCTATATGTTCACATTTATCTTTGTCTAATTGTTTTAAGAGTTTGACTGTACCTTATAGAGCTTTATCATAGCTTACTGCTTATTCTACGATGGAGACATGCCTATTGTGCTCCCATTACCAGAAGAATTAGGCTGGAGGACAGCTTTTGAATTGGTTTTTTTCATTTTTAAATTTTAACAATTATTGATTGATTAAGATCTAATGTAGTAGCAAGCTAGTAATTTCTCTAATCTTTATTCTGATTAAACTGCGCAGGTGAAATGCTTTTATTCATTTAATTATATTGTTAAATTAACATTAAGTTATACAAATAATGGCTTAAAACTACAGAGCAGTGCCCTCTCCTTTTAAACCCCAAGTTTAAAGTAGGTTTAATATTGTATTAAGAGTAATGCAATTTTAGGAGCGCTGAGTAACACTAATGTTGATGATAATAACATCGAGGCAGAAAGCTAGTACAAGTGTGAATCAGCAAATGTGACTCCGAGTATTTATCAGAAAAAGTTCACTGATTCCAAAATTTCTCAAGTATAGTAGCTGTACAAGAATAATGGAACAAAAATTACTCAGAACGAAAAGATATCTAGCAATGGCAATGACATAAATCAGCAGCAGAATCAGAAAAATAGTCATGCCAGATCTTTTTCTACCAGATTAGAAAGTGACTACTCAGCTAAAAAAGTAAGTACTAAGAGTTAGACAGGTTTTTATTTGGTTTTTTAGATTCATCAAAAGCAATCCACTTAATAAGTGATTTTAAATGAAGAAGAAATGATCAGTTCCCCTACAAAGAGCTAATCTAAGAAGTCAAAGACACCTTTTACAAGAAATGCGAGAGAAGAGAAATAGAGTTATAACTATGTTATAATGTTAGGTCCAGATAATTTACCTGAATAGATTAATGGAAACTAGGATACATTCTCCAATAATAACCAGACAACTAACTCTGTCAAAAGAACCAAGTATGTCAAGAAATCAGAAACTCTTAATTCTACACAATCCAAAAAGCAATTGACTAATTCTAAAAATCAGGCTAGTAAGACTAATCTACATGGAACAGGATCTCTGCAAAATAATTTTCTAAACACAAGCCAGAGTCTTAGAAATATTTCTTAAATAGCTTAGTCCTAGTATCTAGAGGAGGATTCGTTCAATGATATTTCTTTCTTTAATAACATTAACTAGAATCTCTCAGCAATGAACTTCAGCCAATTTCATTAGCAGCAGCATTAGCAACAACTTAATTACCAGCAGTAATAGATGCAGGAAACTTAGAATTTTTCTAAATTGTAATAAGAATTCTAGAAGCAATTGAGATAGACCACTGGTAGAGTCCAGAGACTATTTTAAAAGAAGCCATAACACAATCTCTAGTCAGGCTTATCCACTTAAAAAATGAATCAAAACAACAAATCTAATTCAAGGAATAGAAATAATGAGTCTAATAAGTCTCTGAGTAAGTCAGTTTCGGAGTAGAAGTTCAATCAAACTACCCTTCGATCAAACACTATAAGAGAAGAAATGAATAAAACTCAGTTAAAACAAATCTAAGTATAAAAGGCTGAAACAAATTTAAACCTTTAAGATTATGCTAGCAGTCAGCTAGATATGAGTGTGAAGACTAGTCAATAAGATGGAGATATCTCATCAAAGGACCAACCATCAAGCTTTTAAACCCAATTCCAGATGAAGTATAATCTACAAGAACATTCACGAATGCTGCATAACATTGAGACTATGGTTTAATAATAAACTCCTTCATCATCATCTAACCCTTCTAGAACTATTGAAGATGAACAATTCTTAGAATTGGAGAGCTTGATCAATAACAGCTGTAATATCTAGGTTTTAGAATAGCCTTAGATGACCTCAAAGCAAGAAAGCACTTGTTCTCAGTTTGATGCAATCACACAATAAAAAAATATCGACTTAGACGTAAGTATTAATCTCAGAATTATTGATATAGGAAATTTTGAAATTTTTGATAGCTGAGGAGGATTAGCTTAATCAGTTTTCACAAATGATATAGCAAGGATAACTTTTGGAACTTTAATAGCAATTACCTGTGGAATTTAAATATCAATATCTTGATCTTATTCAATCTGTAAACTGCAAAAAGGAAAGGCCCAAGTACTTTGCTTAATAATTGCAAGTGTCCCTAATATTCGCCAATACAATGATAAAAATATTCACTCCAACTTATCTTCAGAAATTCAGTCATAAACTCAGAATGGTGTATACTAACATTCATTAGAACTTCTTACTGTTTATTGACTAAATTCTTAATTGTTGTAATGCAAATCCTAGTAACAGCTAAAATTATGTAGTTTTAAGAAAACTAATTGTAAAAAAACTAAAGAACAAAATTAAATCTAAGAGAATCACTCTTCTTAGACAGAATAACGAGGTCAATCTATTAAATTTGAAAAAGATATGCAAATATATGGTTACAAATAGCAGTAGCTAGGCTTAAGTTATAGGTAGTATTGAGATTGTGAACCCATTCAGCTAAGAATTTAAAGACATAGGAAGTGAAATGATTGATATTCTAAGGGTCTATGAGAAAATCACTATCTTACAAATTTTAGAGAGGATCGCTCAAAAAGAAGAATCCCTAAAGTTAAAGCAATCGTAAATGATACTTCATAGTCCAACAACTAAAAGAGCTAGAAGCATTGCTAAAAATTGTTCGCCTAAGTAATCACCTCGTACATTAGCTCAACATTATTCTCCTACACACTCAAGTAAATCATTAAGGTCTGGAAGAAATAGTGATGCCTCAAACAGTGCAAAGAATTTAGAAATTCATTTAATTAATGCTACTGTTAAATCAGCACCTAAAAGAGGCAAGCTTGTAAAGCCTACAGTTGATTATTCAAAGAAAGAGCTATCAGAGACATTAAGGAAAAATTCAACTCAAAAGACAACTAATTCAAGAGTAGCCCAAAATCCTAACTAATATGAGACACTAGGGTCATATAACAAGAGTTAGGAGTATGTCACTGTTGATAACAGATCATAAGAAGGCATGGCTCATAATATGGGAACAATCTCAAGTGAAAACTCTGCTTAATTTGATTCGAATTAGTTTACTTAACAAAATCCTTAATAACACAAGAGTGTATTTTTCTTACCTGAATCTATGGCATTTTTACTTTCAAATTCTATAGAATGCAATAATGGAATAACGAATATTAATAACAACATAAACATTTATAACACTAGTAATATAGATATCAACTAATTGAGGTAGGATGCCTAAAATGCTAAGGTAGTTGGTAAGATAAATACTAAGACAGGTTAAATATAAGTAAATCAGTAATAGCATTCCAGTGCCCCTGGTATGCAAAGAAATGAAAGTGTCCCATTTATCAAAAGAACATCACTTAATGCTGCTAAAAATTAATAATAAAAATCAGTAGTCAATAGTAATTACTAGAAGGCTTAAAATTTTTTAAAACCAAATAATATAACATCTCCCTCAAAAAATTAATCAAGGCTAAATAGCTCAAACTTATCCCAAAATAATAGTATCAACAGATCTTAACTTAAATCAAGATAGCATACTTCAGATACTTCTTCAATCATTTAGCAATAACTAAAATAAAAAAATGCCATTAGTAGAGAAAGTTCTAAGTTAAATCTAGATTTAAACTAGGCTACAATAATGATTGATGATGCTCTGGATAAGTTAGATTTAAATCAGATAGATCTTTCTAGACAGACTTCTAACAATAATTCAACAGTCAAATCAACTGCAAAACCCTTTAAATCTGCAAATTAAAGTCCAAATAAAAAGCCAATAAGTAGGCCAATGAGTCGTTAAGTAGCTTAGTCTGGTAAGTCATTAGCTCCTCAAAAGGAGAGTTTTCAAGAAGCTACTACTACCTTTCAGAAATAAAGCATAATGAGAGCTCAGTCAAGATAGTAGCTCTCCAGCAGTACTTCAAAGAAAACTTTATTGCCATCTAAAAGTAAAGCCAAGATAGGAACAGTAGTTGATAAGAATTAGTAGGCATGTTTTGTAAATGATATAGATACTCTTTCAATATCATCGACACCACTTAAATAACCCGACTATATTACTAATTCTTCAATTTCTTTAAGTACAGAAAAGAGTTATAAACCAGTATTCTCAGCTAACAAGAAAAATCCAATTTCATCAAATTTATCTGCGAAAAAACCCATGAGGGCTACTGCAAATTATTAATAATAGGATGCGAATAATCGTGTTATTCCAACTAAGAATATCAGTATTAATTCTCCATAACCTAAGAAATGTTCTGGTACTGCATCAAATATGGGTAAAAATCAAGGGAAATCTTTCATATAAAAAGCAGTGCAGCAAACAAAGAAGTAGTAGAAGGATTAACTTACTCTTACTACAGATAAGCTTCATCAGCTGAATATCTAATAAATCGGATTAAATGTAAATACTCTTGAGGATGACTCTGAAGATAAATTTCACAGCAGTAATCAAAATACTCCACTAGTCAATCAATTCAGCCATATTCCAAATGTATAGCCACATACTACTTAGAATATACAACTCTCTAGCAGAGCTACAGCAAGAGATAAGTATGATGATATCTTTGACATTAGTGAAAACAGGTTGGATTTACTTTTAAATAAAATGAATTCCTCTGAGAAACTCAAGCAGGAAGACAGTAACGTAAGCAGTAAACTAGAAACTCAAAGGACGCCATCAGCTCATCAGACTCCTTCTAACAAAGAGAGAAAGTCTAAGATTGATGAAGATCCAGAAGATGTATCTAAAACTGTAAAAATGCTTTAATTTGGATAATTACTTGAGCAGCATATGGGAAGTCTTGACCTTAAAAAGGAAATGGAAAAGCTCAAGTAACTTGATGAGGAATAGAAAAGGTAAAAGAAAATT